GACCTCTGGAGGAGAAAGAATGAAAAATGGGCCCTAGCTGGTTTGGCTCAGTGGATAGAGCACCGGCTTGCAGAATGAAGGGTCCAGGGTTCGATTCCAGTCAAGGGTACATGCCTATGTTGTGGGCTTGATCCCCAGTAGGGGGCGTGCAGGAGGCAACCGATCAATGATTCCCTCTCATTGATGTTTCGACTCTCTCTCCCCTCTCCCTTCCTCTCTGAAATCAATAAAAAATTTATTAAAATAAAATGAAAAATGGCATCTAAGTTTCACACAAAGGCAAACTGATAAAGGGCAGTTGGGGGCCACCTACTATCAGTAAATGCAACAATTTCTAAAAAGGCATTTTTAAATAGTATTAAAGTATAAAATGTAAATTAACTTCTGAGGAGGAAAGAAATTCAACTGAGACAATAGTTTATAGACTGATACAATTTAATGTTTTAATCCGGTTCTTGTTTAATTTTTATTCTTGTTTATATTCTAATAAAGTACTTTTCTGTATTTTTATATTTATTACCTAAATTCAGAGCCTGGATATATTAACTTATTAACCAGGTAGAATTTATACATTCAGATGAAATGTTTTTGAAACAAGTCAAATTACAAGCTGTAAAATTTAGCAGACCATCGATTCACAACCATGTTTTGCTTCATCTTTACATATTATTTTTAATAGCCTTTTGTAGCTCATAAACTATATCTAAATCGCATATAATTTTTGCGATGAATTAAAGTTATCCTAGATAATAACACTGCATTTTCTTCCAATTTTCTAAAGCAACTCTGTTCTCCACAATTGTTTCACAATCTTATCCATAATTCCATACGTTATCGCCATTCTTTGACCTGTTGTCTAGCTGATTTGCACACAATTCAACAGGTGATATTGGAAAGTAATATTGTAAAATAATATTACAAGAAAAAATTTTTTTTTAGTTTTAAAGAGTTAAGTAGCCATCAACTGGAAATAGAAGTAAACATGTTACATTTTAAATCTTAAACACTAACACAAATATTGACAATGTAAAGTTGTTGTTTCAATATAAAACATCTTGCATTAAGAGATCTGAGTTTTGGCTTAGTTGACATGCTATTTATTCCTATGACCTTTTATAAGTCACTTAGCTTTTCTAACACTTAGCATACAGTATTAAATGAATTAATTAAACCTCTCATCACACACACACACACACACACACACACACACACACAGCTCTGATTTAGTAATATTCTCCATAACAATATTGTGTCCAATGTATAAATGAGAAAGATCCATTTCAAAAATAAAAGGCATAACTTAGCAGCTAGCAAAATTTCTGAACTTGAGTTTTAACTGCAACTTTTTCAAGTCAACAACTATTTATTGAGTGTCCTTGGTCCCTGTGACTATGTGAGTGGGGAAATACTGCAGGCAGAGGAAGAACACAAGGAGAAACACTTTGCATATGCCCACCACAGAAAATATTAATGTAGCAAAATTAAAAATGTGTATGAGGAGGGGACAGTGGCAGTATCTGTGGTAAGAAATGCTAGAGGTAATTAGCAGAATTACACAGGCTCTGTAGGCCATATCCATAAATTCAGACCTCTTCCCAGGACCAGAGAGGAATCATTAAAGTGTTTAAGCAGTGGTGTGGTGGTATGATTCAATTTCTAATTTTGAAAACTCCAGTGCACAGGATAGCAAGGCAAGACTGGAGACAAGAAAATAAGAGACAGTTTTGAGATGATGAATTAGAAGGCAGTACAACAGTAATAGGAAAACTTCTGCAGTTAGTTGCCTGCATTCGAATCTGTTTTCCACTTACCAACTTGCTGTTTCTGTTTTCTCTTCTATAATCCAGAGATAAAAAATCTTCACAGGGTTATTGCCAAAGAACAAATAAAATAATACTCATAAACAGCATGTTGCCAGGCACAGAGTTAGAATGCTAATGCTTATTATTAATGTATTGTTAATAGGCAGAGAGAAATTGAGAATATTATCTGGAAGATGTTTAGGAGACAGAAACTGACAGTGAAGATATAGGACAAAGGGGAAAGGAATTAGACTCTAATTCCTGGCTTGAATAATGGCTCTATTTGAGAAGATGAGAAACACAGGTGGTTTGAAAGTTTTGAAGGAGAAAATAGTGTTCATTTCTTGGTATGTTGATAGTGAGACATTCCAGCAAGCAGGTGAATGTGGTACTTTGAAGTGAAGGAAACAGATCAAGGCTGGAGGTCTGAGAATCTGAGCAACAGATGGTAATCTAATCCATGGAGGTTGGTGAGAGCCCCTGGAGAAAGGACATATGGGTTGAAGAAATGCTGGCACTAGATAGAAGCTATGGAATAGCAACATTAAAGGAAGCCTGCAAAGGACACTGAGAGAAGGAGGGCCCGAGAAATAAGAGAACAGTGTGAGCACTCAGTACCACAAGAAAAAGAAGTGCTTCAGACAGAGGACAGTGCTCAGCAACGTCCACACTGCGAAGCAGCAAAATAAGGACAGTTTTCACTGCATCTAGCAACGAATTATTCATTCACATAATAAATGTGTGTCAGGCACCAGGCCCTGGAAATGCAGTAGTAAATAAGTCAACAAGAGCCTTTCACACACAGATTTTATGTTGAAGATAGACAGTAAACTAATAAGCAAAATACTTATTTGAAATAGTAGAGACAAAGTGACATATGTAAGAGTAAAGAGCACAGACCACTTTAGTGAGTTTGAGATGGCATCTCTCTGAGGGAATATCTAAACTGAGACCAAAAGTAGGAAAGGGCTCAGCATGGTCAAAGAATTGAAAGAAGCTGCTGAGGGCACAGCCTAACACTGGAGGGATGGAGAGGAGCCACACCATGTTTGTAGAGTATGCTGAAGGCATAGTGAGAAAAGTTTAGATAACCTATTAAGCATGTAAATAGGGAAGTTAAGGTCATTGTAGCTAATAGCACTTAGTTGTTTGCTTTTCCTCATTTATACTAGCCTTAATAATCAGAAATAGCACATGTCATCCCTCTTTCAACCATTAACTGTTTATTACAATATCAGAATAAACTTTTCTATTTTAAAGGATACTGATTATAGCATGTTACCTCTAACATTAATATTACTAATCCACTTTTAACTTTTCATGTTTCTTTCGAATATATTAATCATATTTTCTTGATTATATGACTAAATTATATTTCTCTGGGGTAATTTCAAGCAATGTACATCAGAATTTGAATATTTTGTAGCAGGAAGAATCAGCAGGGTGTTACTAAAACCTGATTAAACTCATCCAAAAAACTTCCATAGAGTTTATATTCTGTAACCTTAGGTTCCTATCTCCTTTATATATTTGTATATATGTATATCATAGGTAAAAGTTGATGCAGAAAACATTGGCTTGATTCTGAGCAGCTGAATTATATGTTCATATTGTTTTTTCATTTCTTTATCTGCAAGAGGAAGAATTTATGGCCCTTTCCTATTTCATAAGTATATCAATAACATAAAATGATATTTACTTGATATCTATTATCAGGCATTGAGGTAGGAACATTATATAAATTGTGTTTAATCATCCTCATACTAAGACTGCAGAGGCAAAATTTAAGCCTATTTCTGTAATCTCAAAAAATTGGATCACTAAACCATGATGCTTCAGACTATTAACAGATTGAGTTTCTTAAAAATGCCTATCTGATATAAGTTATTAAATCATAAACATGAATTTTAAATAACAAATGTCATTTTATTAAAATTTTAATAAGCTATGTACAACTTAGAAATATTTGCTATACACACCATTCCTATACATTTCTCCTTTTGTCATAACTTGATTTAAATTTTTTTAATAATGGAGAAGAGAGGTGAAAGACAGAAAAGATTAACTACAGTGTTTAAGGTACCAGAATTACTATTCTGGATCAAAATTTTTCTTAGTTAATCTTTAAAACACATATTAAGTCCAATGAACTGCCTATTCTCATAGAACTTATGTATCTCTCAAAATTACAAATTACAAATGGCCTATAGTTTTCCTGAATCAGAAAAACCTAATCTCTGATTAGAACCTCTAAATGTCACTAGTTCCCTGCATTCAGAAGGTAACAAGTCTCAATAAAAGCATCATAAGTTGCCCTCAGCAGTAGCTACAGAGTTGTTGTATTGTAAGCTCTTCCTACTAAGATTTTTTCAGGTAGCTAAGTCATCCACCTAGATTCTGTCTAAAGAAGTCTAGATATTTAACAAAAAGAAACTACTGCCAGATCATCTTTATTTTCCTTAACAAAATACACACAAGAGCACAAAATTCACTTATAATATCATTATTTTACAAGTATAAATAATGCTCAGAACTCATTACAGTCAAGTGCAGAAATATTTCCTATGCTATGTAAACATAAGCTAATTATAATATTATGTGCCTTTGGCCCAGCTGCAAAATAAGAGACATCAAAAAAGAAACACTGCACTTGACTGTTCAATTGCATTCTTACTGAGAATTCCTATCAATGCCAATATAGTTATAACTTTTATAGTGCTTAATGTAAATGCCTAAATAGACATTTCCCTGCCCCTGGCAAATATCTTGAGAGTAAAACTTCTATCCATTTTTAATGATGAACTATTAAAAATCTTGAGTTTCATTCCTTAAAACAAACACTGTTAGAACTTATTTCTAACCAAAGTTCTTCCTATGTCAAAAATGGATATTATTTACAAGTCACACATATAAAAAACAAGAATACTATCATGTTTGTTTACTTTTAGAATGCAAAAAAAAAAAATCTAAAAGCCAGTGTGGGTCTTTGTACATTCAAAAATATTTTACTTTTCTGATATCACTTGCTTGTAGTTTTAATACCTAATAGATACAATTTTGACAAACCGAAATAGCTAAGCAATCTGAATTCAAATGATATCAAGCATATCCTTGAGAGAAAAAAAGCACCGCCTAAAAAGCAATAACTGATATCAACAAAACTACAGCTATCCAGTTGAAGGCATGTGGAAGCATTTACTACATCGTCATCAATGATTCTCCACTTAATTCAGGATTAGGAATAGAATCAGGAATAGCATCAGAAATAGAATCAGGAACAGAATCAGCTTTGGAAACTATTGATTTGGCTTCATTCGCTGAGGTTTCCTCCTTCTCAGTCTCCTCTTGCTTTTCTTCTGGTTCCTCTGTACCAGATGCTTTTTCAATCACTTCATTTATTTGCTCTGTATCTGTTATTTTGTCCTCTATCTGCTCTGTAGTGTTATCCAAAACATCTTGTTCTTCTAAAGATTCTGAAAAGACAAAGAGTTAAGACTTCAAGAATACAAAAATGTTAAAATTGCTAAATAAGGTATATGAATTGGTACAACAGGGGGGAAAAAAACAATTTGGGGAAAACAAATCCATACTTTATCTAAAGTACCATATTTTCATAAAATTTAGGAATTTTCATATTATTTAAGAATTATCCTAAAGATGCATTTGAAAGTTAAAGGTTCAATCAAACAAAGCCCCAATAGAATTATGTGCTGTAAGACAATAGCCCAGCAAACAAAAAAAGGTATTAAATCTCAGATTATGTTTCTTAAAGAAACTGTCTCCCTTGTGCCAGGCAATCCTGTGAGCAATGTGTAAATATGTACCTTTGCGTGTATGTAGGTGGTGCTATTTCCTACACTGATTTACATCTCTATTATCCCAGACTTTAGAAGGTCTATAGACCAAGACCTTACATCTCTATTATCCACCTTTTCCAAAGGCATGACAAGTCTCCCTTTGTCCCTCTATATAAGACAAATCCTCATGATTTAAACCTCTGGGTCAGAATATGCTATACACCTATCATACAATAGGAGATAGGTAGGGAGAGAAAGAAAAGGGTCTTTGTCTTTTGTTCCTATCTCTAAAACGGAGACTAATTAAAGGTCTTGCTCCCCACCTAAAAATTTGTTCCTTTTAAACTCTCTAGTAAGTTTCATTAAACTCAAATCTTAATAATTTAATAACAATTTTATTATATAAAGTCTCTATAATTCTTTATGTTTAAAGAATGGGATGGAAGAGGGAATGACCAGAGCAGTTTTTATAATAAATAGCAACTGCTTTTGCTAGGAAGATAAGGTTAAATCATATCAGCTAAACAAATAAGCAGATTTTCGTACCCCCATAGAAGATCCCTTATGACATACAACAAATGTTATTGATTCAGCATTTATAGAGTAAAGACCAGTCTACATCAGTAAAAAGTTCTAGTTTAGTTCCTTATGTAGTACAAAGTGTGTGTGTGATATTTTCAAACAATTATTTCTATACAGATATTTTAGAATCTAGTTTACAGAACTGTAAACTTTTTTCCAATTTTTACATTTAGGATGAAGAGCCAAAATTATACAATTAGGAACATTCGAATTAATGAGGTTTTACTATATAAAAACTTCATATAACCACAAAAAAAGTAGTAAGGAATGGTTCTCAAATCATATACCAAATGTCACAAAAATGCTATTTTTATTTCAAAAGGAATTTAAAATGGCATTGCTGCACCACTTCAAATCTTACAATAATCCAAGGTAAAAAGCTGTAGAGTGACTGAGTCTGTTATTTGAATGTTCCAGTGCAAAAAGGGAAAGCAAACAGTGCAGATAAAATTCTATGGACAGATAATTCTGCTACTTGGGCAAGTAAAGCCTTCAATGGAAAACTTTCAGAGTCACTAACCATTTGTAATTCTACCCTCACAAAATTTATCAATAGAATTTTACGTTATGGCTTTCCACAATACTTACTTGCCAAGAACTTTACAATTTTTTAACAATTTAGTAAGCCTTCTGAATCAAACAAAGAAAGCCAAACAAAATGAAAGAAGTTCGGAATCCACGACTCAATTCACCAATAAATATGTTGAAGTGAACATAGGCCCACTTAGTTTGTCAGATTCTGTCAGACAGACTGCCTCAGTACTAAACAAGAGAGGTATCAAAGTCTATGGTTTAAATGTTAAAGCTCTATGATACAACTATTTTCAGAAACACATCCTGCAGGTGGGATGGTGGAGCAGGTGAGGGGGTGGTGCCAGGCCACGTAGGGTGCCAGGTAGGGCTGCGAGGCTGGGGGTATGAGCTGGGTCCCGATCTTGCAGGCCACCCCAAGAGACCCCACCCATGCACAAATTCGTGCACCAGACCTCTAGTATTCAATACACAAAATATTGCTTATTTACCACAAGTGAACAAATCCATTAGATGAGTAAGAATGTCATTAAGCAATGCTACAAAATTGTTTTTTTTCAGTGAAGATATTTTAGAAAAGAGAATCTGCAGGCCAAAAGATCTTTATGAATAAAATAAGCATGCAAACTGATACTACGGTTAATTTGCATCTTGAGTAAACTGTACATAATTAAATATAAATAAAGGTATAAGCTTTATTCTAGTAGATCTAGTAAATATACAGAATTCAACAAAATTTACATATCAAATAGTTAAATATCATAGAGCATCATAACAAACGATACTACAAATAGAATTTTCTCTAGATTAACAGAATCTAATAGTAACAGTATATTCCTTAAAAGAAAGAGCAGAAATCAAGTTATCAAGATAAATTTCTACATTATATAAATTTTACTTGTTACTATTTATAGTATTGATTAGGTGCCATGAGTTTTATTAGCAAATTATTTCTAGTTGAATAAGGGCTATTTTTTCCTAATATGATTACATAAAATTTAGACAAATACAACTGAGCAATGAAAATATTTTTCAAACATGCTAGCCTAAAACCACTGAATTAGTATATTAACAATGTAAAAACTTCATACTCTCTTACCATAGCTAACAACAAAAAAATGCTATATGTCAGGTATTTTGGATTGCATATTTTTAAAAAGGAAAACTGATAAACCACTTCAATGTGGTTTAGCAGATTCAAGTATTACTATACCATCCATTTAACCATAAAAGAAACTGAGGAACCTAAAAGCAATTCATTACTTTGGAATACCATACCTAGTATGCTCTTACATACAAAGACAATCCATAAACCTAATTTCTTGTGTTTCTTTAATATTCTATTACCAAAGCATTTTCTATAGACAATTCTAAAAACAAAAACAACAACAACAAAAACAAACAACTTCTAGGAATTCAAATGAGCAATTAATGGAAGAAGTTTCTTCTAGGTCTCCTTCTCTGATGAAAACTTTACGAGATATCATATGTTGTTCTAAAGAGTGGTCCAAAAAATTCAAAAGCCTTGTGCCTCATCCTAAATGCAAAATCTAGTAGCAGAATCAAGACACAACTTAATTTCAAAGTTTCACATCACAGATTTTTAAGAAGGTGTTTTCTATTAAGTCTAGATTATTCATATAAATTATTTTAGAATATTCACTGAAAGAAAATTCAAATGAAAGAAAGTTACCTTTTCATTCCATCTGTAAATTCAATAACCGAATTTCAACAGCTTTTGCTGCTATCAAGGAATTATTGCAATACTTTAAAAATATAAAAATTATAGCAGAAAAGTTGTAGAAATCAGAAATCTAAGCCCTCAATTACACTGCCTGTCAGCATAGAGAATAGATGATTAAGATAATATGATTTTAATAGTTCAGTTTAATCATAAAGATATGCCTCCAGTGTTCAAAACAAATGCATCTTCTCTGTTCATCAAAAATACTTCCAGTCTTTTACTAAAGGAATCCAGCTTGAAATTGATAACTGTACATCATAGTGTTGAGATACGAGTCTTGGAGAAAAGTTCAATCTTCTAGAAAGCCAAAGAAGTAAATGGTGCTCATTGCCATTTTAATGAATCCAAAGAGAAGTTTGAAAGTTACTACTCTAAAGATAATCTTAAATTAGATGCAAGTGTTGCTTCAGTTTCTAGCACTATGAAGTTACTAGACTCTGCCTCATATTTTGTCTTCACCTATTAATATTACCTTATTAGGGTTGAATATGACCCAGTTAGACTTCACTCCAGAGATTTCAGACAGAAAATGAGACATCTGGGGTTTTGCTCCTCCTAGATTAGATGAGAAGGAAAGGTATAGCTCGATGTTGTTTGCTAACTATCTATATTGACCTTAGCAGAAAATAAAAAGCATTAGGCTCATTATCAAGATTTTATTTTGTTGGCTGATTTTTTTTTTTTCTTTTTGTCCCAACTATTGGCTTTCAAATATTCACTTTAGCTTTCATAAGAAGGTTACTCATGGAAAGGACTTCAATGTTTCCTCTAGGCATCTTCAGTTAGAAAGACTTTCATTTTCCAGTTCCAAGAGGGTGTATTGGTGAGGCAGATGATTTTCATGTGATAGCATGAAGCTCAGAGCATGACTTAAGCAAACGAAAAAAATCTATTATGTTTGGAGTTGATGTTGCAGACTTGGAGAAGATGAATGCTTTGATTCACTTTTGGAAGTAGCAGACCTCTTGTCATGCCTATCTATTCAAATTCCTTTTGGTATTTGTTATTAATCCCAAAGCCAAGCCTGAGTCAACACATGTATTTTATTATTCAATTTTTTTTAAAGATACACAAATTTTCATAAAACTTATCTGAAAATTCCCCCGTATTATTTTTAAAGCAATTTTCCCACACTCAATGCTTTTATAAAGAAGAAATCAAATATATGTAAATGATAATTCCTAAAACTTGAAAGGATGAATATTGATTGCTAAATAAACTATGTAAGCTAAACTTCCAAAATGAATTTTTTCTCTATAGCACCAAAATATCATAGCCTGAATCATAATTTTAGCAATCTTCAGAATTCAGAGCTGCTTAAAAACAGCTCCTCACCTCATTATTAACAGCAAGAAGTAGTTGGCAATTAATAGACAGCTCTTCCAACTCATCTTTTCCATTTTTTTTTTTTTTTCATGAAACTTCCTCAAGAATACCTAAAGTAGAATTGCAAGAGAAGGCCTAAAATCCAATGAATTCTGATGAACTCTGTTTCTCTAAAATAAGGTTGTTTACATCAAGGCATGTGTCAGCAATGTTAGTCTCACTGATCAAGATAAACTTTCAAAGGACTACCAGCCGTACCAACACAGTCAACTAAAGGATGCAAGGATGACTTTCCAATTCCAAGGTCTCTTGCTTGCAGTAACTTCTAATTCAAGTGGTAAGCAAAAGCTTATTTTGCAATTTTTAAAAAAATTGTATCTTATAGTTGCTCCATAATTATAATCTGCTCCATTTAAATAAAATGGAAAAAAAAAGTGATTCCATAAAAACATTACCAGTCAAATCTTCCAACTGTTATTAGAAGAGGTCACTCTATAAACAATGTTTTCCTAGCTATTGCTGGATGCTGCTTAACAAGTTATATTTTAAAACTAAAACATATCATACCAATTACACAGGAAGCTACAGTATCAGAGTGATAAGTGATATATGCATTCTGCAAAATCTGATAAATAAATCCATTCTTATTTAGAAGCATTATTCTGTTATTGTTAAAACAGTAAACATTATTAAGAGACAAAATTTTTTAATTAACACATTCATACCTTCACTTATCAGGTTCTCTGATGAAATCACACTTCCTGCGGGCAAGGGGCCAACTAAACTTGAGCTTTCCACAGCCTGCCTCTTCTCAAAACTAAACTCTGGCAGTCTTGGAGCCTGAGGTCTGGTTTTTCTTGCAGGATTCAAGAAAAAACAGTAGGCACACCGAAAAGCTGCAGAGAATTAAAAAAAAGTAAATAAACAAAACCACAAACCAAAGAAAACTCAAGGATAGTCAGATAACTCACAAGATTACTTTTGCAAATAGTCAAAGTACTCTTCAAAAGTTATTTATCCCTAGTGAATATCCCTATATGTGGTTTTAGCAATATTATTGCAAGTGTTCTAACCAAAGCTAATTTTAAAGTATACTTTCTAATTATTATTAGAATATTAATTTTAGATTAGAAAAGATAAGTTATATAGCAGGTTAACTAATAATTGCTAAACAATATTAATAATGACCTAAGTGTATTATAGAAATTACATTTCTAATCACCAGAGTCATTAGGTATTTTTAAACCCAGAACCTTGCTCATTTACCCAAGAAAGTGTAGTATATCAAATATGAGAAACATAATTAATTTAGTATAAAGTTCTTTAATAGTGGCTACACATGAGAATCATCTGAGGAGCTTTAAAACCATGCTGATGCCCAGAACTCCACCCCATATCAATTAAAGCAGACTTTCTTGTAGGTGGGCCCTGGGCTTCATACTTTTTAAAAGCTTTTCAGATGATTCTGATACACAATGAAGTTTGAGAACAGCTGGCCTAGAGATTGTACATTGTTATGAGAAAAATCTCATTTGTCTTTCCTGCTTTGCTATATTTTTCAAGCTATTGTTCTAAAATAAGGACAATAACTTGAAAAATATATACAGAGACAGTACCAAAATTAAAATGACATTAGATGGGAGCAGGCATAGAATAAAAAATTAAGCATAAAATATTTAAATCTAACTGCCTAATAATTCTTACCAATGTATTCAAATTCTTCTTTCAATGCCATGCCATTATGAGAAAAACATTGCTGACATATAAGAGCATACCTATACCAAAAGGAAAAATATACTAATTACAAATGCAAACAAAGCCCATGGGAAAAGCTACTTTAGCCATTATAGCTAACTTATATTTTAACATAACTAAGTATGTCATATCAAACTAGATGTTCTTAGTAAACAATAAACAATACTGTTTAAACATAATAGTCAAAATTTCAACCATTTTAAAATATAATTTATGTATCAAATTAAAAATAAACTAAGCAATCAGTCAAATGAATACAACTTTTTTAAGTTAGCAAAAACATTTGGTAACAGAACACCTCAGTGTTTCCTAAAGTATCTGGGGATGATAGACTCAAAATATGTAGTCAGATAAGAATGGAAAAGATGGAACTTCTTAAGGATTCTCAATGAGAAGTTTTGTAGTAAAGAAATTAATTTTGTTTAGTTCAACCCAAAGATTAATTTCTCTACGCCATAATTCCTATACTTATCCTAATTACACTTAAACATCTTCCTCACTTTCTATTTATAGACTCATTCTATTCTTTGTTTTGAATAACATATAATTTATTATGTTAATTTTATCTAGCCCTTTTATTAAATTGATAACATTAACCAATAACCTTGTCAAATATCTACTCTACTATCCTAAAAAAAATTCTTAAGTCTATATTATGACAATTGCTATATCATAACTCTCTTCCTAAAGTTATTGTAAGGATCAAATAAATAATTGAAAGAACATTCTGAAAACTGTAAGTGCCAAATATATATAAATTGTCCTCATTGTTATTAAAACTATCACCATCACCAAGTCTAGCACTAATCTATAAAATTACATTTCTTTTCTTTTTTTTAATATATTTTATTGATTTTTTACAGAGAGGAAGGGAGAGGGATAGAGAGCTAGAAACATTTTTGAGAGAGAAACATTGACCAGCTTACCTGCATACCCCCTACCGGGGATGTGCCCGCAACCAGTGTACATGACCTTGACTGGAATCGAACCTGGGACCTTTCAGTCCACAGACCAACGCTCTATCAACTGAGCCAAACCGGTTTTGGCTAAAATTACATTTCTTAAAACCTATCAAGTTTTCATTAATTGTATGCTCTTCAATTTTAAAAGTTTTAGTGAAAAGAATCAGTTTCTCTAAAAATAACTGTAGAATAGTATTATAATATAGTACTGAAATACATATATTTCAGTATTTTACTTCCATACTTTATCTAAACTCCTATTGGGAAAAAACAAAAACAAAAAACTGAATACATACTCTTTTGCAGGGCTATGAAATATTCCATTATGTTTTAAAATAAGGAAACAGGAGCTACAAAACTATAAAAATCTAGTGCATCTAGTGCATGCACACAAAACATACACACCATGACCAATAAACGTTTTCTTCATTTTCATTTTTTTTTTACCATCCTAGTAAACATTACCTGTTTTGTGGACCATCACCAACTAAATATTCAACAACTCTATCCAAAGCACTTCGTTCTCGGGGGAGAATGGGTCTAGCTAAAGGTGGACCTGGAGGATGAAGACCTGGTAAATAAATAAACACATAAAAATTATATGTATAAAATACATATAAATTTTAATTCAGTTTACCAAGAACTACCTATGCTTTTTAGAATTTAAATGATTTTAACAAAAATAACATTGAATATTATAAATCTCTGTAAATTATTTAACATATATAATTTACTAAGACATGAAATGATGTTAGATTCTGTACAAACTAATTTTTTAAATGGCCAGATTCTTAAAAACATATGTAATAATAAATTACAGAATTCCACTTTGGACCATTATAGTCACAGGGGTTATATTTACCTTCCAAACTAAAATATGATGCAAAATATATGATGCAACAGTTTTAAAGACAATGGATATCAGGCAATGTAGGATAAAGATTTCTGACAGACAAAAAGCAAATAAGATGAACCCTACAATTGCCCCAGCTTGTTGTCTAGAAAGAATTTCCAGGCAACAGCTCAGGGAGGGTAATCCCAGATGAAGTAAACCCGTTTCCCTGAGATGAGATAAAGCTGGAACTTTGGGGAAGGCAAAGCAGCTTGAGTTCACAGGAAAGTCGAAGAGAATGCACAGAGCAAAGATTTACAGACTACTCAACAGAGTACTGACTGACACAAGCATATAAGGAAACTACCTGAGGACAGAGAAAACTGCTCCAAAGTATTTAAAGGTAAAGTAACACAGGGCCAAAAATATTGCATGTTCCCACCAGAGTGGAAAACTTCATAACTGGCAGGTCAAGGTCATTGATCAAGTATTCAGAGGAGTTTTGTATAGGAAAAATCAATCAAAAATGACCTTAAAATGACAGTGATAATAGGATTAGTAGACAAATATGTTAAGACACTTATGACTATATTCCGTATGCTTCAGAATCTAGAGGAGACATTCACTGTTAAGTAGAGGCACAAACTTCTGCAGATAAAAACTACAATGTCTAGGATAAAAAATCCAGAGATGGGATAAATAACAGTTTGCATATTACAGAAAAAATATTAGTAATTATGGAGATCTAGCAATTGTAACCATACAAAACAAAGACTAAGAATATTTTCAAATGAAAAAATCATCAGTGAGCTATAGAACCTCAAGCAGTCTACTCTAACATACATATGATTGGAGACCAGAAGAAGAGAAAAAGGGAAAAGAAAGTAATATTTGAATAAATAATGCACCAAAATTTTCCAACTTTGATGAAAACTATAAACCCATAGATCAAATATCAACAAAACTTAAGCACAAGAAGCATAATTTTGCAATAAGACACAACATATTCAAATTGTTTAAAACTAGTGATAAAGAGGACATCTTAAAAGCAGTCAGAAAAAGATACATTATGTATAGAAAACAGATATAGAAATGACAGCACATTTCTTATCAGAAAAATAAGCAAGTCAGAAGACAATTAAACAATATGTTAGAAATTCTAAGGGAAAATTATCGAATTAGAATTCTATATTAGTGAAAAAAGTCTTAAAAATTAAGGCAATGATGAAGACTTTTTCAGACATACAAACTGAAAAAATTCATCACTAGAAGAATTATAAGAAATGTTAAAAGAAGTCCCTTCAAACAGAAGGAAAATGATACCAGATGAAAAGAGGAATACCAGAAATGCTTACATGTAGATAGAAATACAAAACTTCTACTTTTAAATCTTTTAAAAGATAACTGATGGTATAAAGGAAAAAAATAATTTTTAAAAAATGTTTTTATTGATCTCAGAAAGAGGAAGCTAAAGGAAGAGAAAGAAACATCTGAGAGAGGAACATTAATTAATTTCCTTCTGTAAGTCTCCCCCCTACCAAGAATGGAAGAGTGACCTCCTGCTCGATGCTCAACCAGAGCCATACTAGCTGGGCAGGAAAAAAATAATTTGTTGTGGGGTTTATAACATAGATAGAAACGAAATGTAAGACAACACATTTAGCAGCACAAAGGCTAAGAGAAGAAAAATGTAAATATATGGTTGTTAGAGTCTTAAACTATATATGAACTGTACCCTATCATGTGTAAATTGTGATATATCAAAGATATATACTGTAAGCCCCAAAACATCTCATCGATATTTCTCTCTCTCCCTCTAGCTTCCTCTCTCTGAGATCAATAAAAACATATTTTTTCATTATTTTTTTCCTTTATATCATTCAACTTTTGTATGTCTGAAAAAAGTCTTCATCTTTGTCTTCTTTTTTAAAAGACTTTTTTTCACAAATATGGAATTATAATACTAAAATTACACACAAAAGCAATTTAGCTAATAAGGCAACAAAATGTATAAAATGGAATCATGGGGGGAAAAAATAATAATCCAGCCCAGCTAGTGTGGCTCAGTAGTTGAATGTAGATCTATGAACCAGGAGGTCAGGGTTCAATTCTCAGTCCCCGTAGGGGGGCTGTGCAGAAAGCAGCTGATCAATGATTTTTCTCATCACTAGATGTTTCTATCGCTTTCTCCCTATCTCTTTCTCTCTGAAATCAATATAATTAAATTAATTTTTAAAAATACTAAAAATCCAAAAGAAAGCAGAATATAAGAAAGGTAGCAGAACAGATAGGACAAATAGGGGGAAAAACAGCACAATAGAACATTTAACTCAAACCTATACATACCAATTATTATATTAAATGTATATGGCCTGAACATCCTCATTATGAGGCAAAGACTGACAGAATGAACAAGAAAGCAAGGACCAACAAAAGCTACTTACAAAAAAAAAAAAAAAAAAAAAAAAAAAGACATTTTAAATATAAAGACCAAATAAGTTAAAAGTAAATGGTAGAAAAACATACATACACACACACACACCAATATTAACACCAATAAAAAGAAATCTATAGAAGTTGTATTACTACCTAACACATTAGATTTTTAGAACAAAAAATATTCTCAGGAATAAAAAAAAAGTAATTTCATAATCACAAAAAAGTCAATTCATCAAGTGGGCATAGCAATCCTAAATATATATGTGCATCATAATAGAGCTTTAGAACACATAAAGCAAAAATTATAGAACTATAAAAAATAAACAAATATACAATTATAGTTGGAGATTTCAACAGCCTTCTCTCAATAGCTGGCAGGACAGCAAATCATATAGTGTTGATAAAGAACAACATTATCTACTACCAACTTGATCTAGTTGACATTTAATAGCCACTCTACCCAACAGGAACAGCATATAGTCATGCAGTGCTTAATGACAGGGATATGTTCTGAAAAATGCAGCATTAGGCAATTGCATCATTGTGCAAATATCAAATTCACACTTATACAAACCTAGACAGTACATAACCTACTATACACCTAAGCCATCCTATATAATGAGAAGAATATGCTAATTATCCATTTATGCACCGAGGTGTAAGACCAACTGTATGATGACCAGATCACAGATCTGCAGGAGGGTGGGGCAGCGAACTATAAGCAGTTGGCCAGGAGCTACAGGAGGGGGCAAGGCAGCAAGCAATTGAAGGGGGTGAAAGGGGGAGAGGGGGGAGCTACAGGAGGGCAGCAGCAACCTACTGGCACATGGATTCATGTGCAGGGCTACTAGTATAGTATTATACTGTCTATTGATCCCAGGCTACAAACCTGTACAGCACATTACTGTACTGGACATTGTAAGTAATCATAACACAACTAGAGGCCCAGTGGATAAAATTCGTACATGGGGGGTGGGGGAAGGAGGTCTCTCAGCCCAGCCTGCATCCTCTCACAATCCGGGATCTCTCAGGGGATGTTGGGCCTAAACCAAGTCAGACATCCCTCTCACAATCAGGGACGCTGCATGTACCAGTGACCATACTTTTCATCCAGGTGAAAGGCATCTTGCTGTTGTGTGCGCAGCTACATTTTTTTTCCCTGATTATGAAAAGTAGTATATAACATGATCCTTCTGAGGCAGCAGTACCACTTTCCCCATTTTGTAAAATGTAAAAACTGAAGCGGAGAAAAGTAATTGACTTTGTCACACAGTTATAAGTGTCAGAATCAGGGCTGACCACAAAATGTAAAGCCAGAGTCCATGCATGTCATCGTTGCATCATCCTGTCTTTTAAGTAGAGTAGTCTTGCTAAGTTTTAATTTTTAAATCTAAGAGACTGTTTCTAATATCGGGTCTAGTAATAATTAATGTCGTTTTTAAACATTCGTTTAAAATCTTGCTTGGCGTTGACTTGTATTGACATAACCTTCAAACACGTGGTATCTACAGAACGTGTGAAGTGCAATTAACAAGTTTTGCTTGAAAAAGTTTGTGTTTGGTTTGGTTTTTGTTGCAAAACTAGGGCTAAGAAGATGGCGGATGAAGAGCATATTCGGCACTGCATGCTTTACGAGTTCCAATTAGGAAGAAAAGCAAGTGAGGCTGCAGAAAACATCTGTAGTGCTCTTGGTCAAGATGCAGTTAGCGCCAGAAAATGCCAGCGTTGGTTTGAGAAATTTCGCGAGGGAAATTTTTCGTTAGATGACAAGAGTGGTCGAGGCCGTGTGTCCAATTTTGATCAAGAAGCTCTTCAAGCTCTTTTGGTGCAAAATCCTCAAATTACCCAACAAGAGCTTGCGACAACTTTAAATTGTTCACAAAAAACAATTTCCAATCCATTGCGTGCACTTGGCAAAGTCCAAAAGTTTGGAAAATGGGTTCCTCATGAGTTGACCAACAACGACGGTAATCAAAGAGTGACAATTTGCAGTTCGTTCCTCTCTCGTCAAAACCGTTTGCCGTTTTTAGAGCAAATTGTTACCGGAGATGAAAAATGGGTGCTGTATGTTAATTTGAAAAGGCGGCCTCAATGGTTGGACAAAAATGAGGCTCCGCAGCCCACGCCAAAACCTGACTTGCATGCGAAAAAAGTGATGTTGTGTGTTTGGTGGAATTTTAAAGGAATTCTTCATTATGAACTTTTACCATCTAACCAAACCATTACAAGTGCAGTGTATAGTGCCCAATTGGAAAGGTTAGCCCGAGCTTTAAGAGAAAAAGAACCCGCGCTGATTAATC